CTGGGTCCAACTGCAAATGTAGGGGCATTGCATTACAAACAAAACCCCCGCATATTTCCTGTAATGGTTTAACCCCAGCTGGCAACTAAGCATCACACAGCCACTTGCTCATTCCCCTCTGGTGGGATTGGGGGAAAGAAACAGAGAAAAAAAAGAAAAAACTACTACCATATAGCTCAATTAGGGACCCAAAATTTCCTGGAGGGTGAATTCCAGGAATCAGAGGTTCCCTGGATGCATAAGAGCTTGTTCAGCTTAAAATTTTATGTAACACCAAAAACGATTTCACGATGAAGAAGGAAGGAGATACAGCATCGTAGATGAGGTGTGAAGGTTTCAGGATCTCCAGGATGGAAGGACTTATTAGGATAAACACAGGCTTGGAAAATATAAAATAATAGAAAAATACTAAAAAATAACAGGAGATAAAGAGTTATTGACAAAGGCTTTAGCCTGTCAATTACTGAGGCAGAAGAGACTCTGTGCCAAGTTAAAGGTCTATCCATACCAATAGCAACAAATATTCTCAAAGGGAGGGAGTTAAGGTTGTATGTGTACTCTTAACTTGACCAGCACTTCTTTTAAGTTAGCAGCCTTTGAAGCATTATAATAGTATTATATGGAGGATCTGATAAAATGTAAGAGAAGTTTTAAAACCTGTCATATAGACCCAAACAAAATGAAAATACTTTTTTTAATCAGTGTTTTTTTAATTGTAATATACTCATTTTTCAGTTGAAGCATATGCAGTATGATCAAAGCATTCATTGTCTGTAATAATTTGGAAGATAATTTCAGGTCCTTGAAACAGTCTGAAACAACACAAAGACAAGAAGTTAAAGCCATATTATTCAAGTTATGTATTCTGTCATATTTAGTCACTGTATGGGATAGTTTCCTCTGCTTTACATCAGTCTTAATTAGATTTCTCTAGTCCATTTTGTGTTCTCTGTTTCCCTTCTTGCTTTTGTCTCCTGTCACAAAGCTAAATTTCTGTCTTACCAGTTCATCTCTTTTCCATACCTCAGGATGGTACATGTGTCCAGAAACACAGGCCAAAACCAACAGATTTATCACAACCTTAATGACAGCTGGCTGCATGCTGAGTGAATTCTTAAATTCCCCAAAACTACTTTTTTGCCAAAACATGTGGAGTTGCAGCATTCAACATTTTCTTGGGACCGTTATCTCCAAATGAAAAATGACTCCACTGGAAAAAATTTGGTATCAGCTATAGACCTATTTTTAACTTCTTGTTTGGTGAAACTTCAGAAAACATAATTAGCCATATGTTGAGAGATGTTCTCCAAGTCTTAAATTCAATTTTTGCAAACCACATTTAAGCACTACCTTGTCCACAACTTTATACTGTTGGAATCAAAAGACATGGGTTTTTTTAATGACAATGTGATTCTTCATATTTCTTTGGGTAAATATTTGTGTTTATGAAGATTGCAGAACTGGCAGTACTAAAGACTGAAATCTTCCATTTGTTTATATGGGAAGATCTGTGCAGGCAACAGTACTGGAATCACCCCCTACTTCTGTCACTTATGAACTTCAAGCCTTGCATTAATGTTCTCAGAGGCAGAAAAGTAGAGCAGTTCAGAAACATTCATTCTCCCCCACAAGTATTTATCCTGAAAACAAAACAAGATTACTCTAATCAAAAACATGCACAGAGAATCTTAAGGTTATGTCAAAAATAAGAGTTTCTATGTGAAAACCAATTTTTTTCCAAATTAAATCTAAATAAACTGTCAGATTTCAAATTGGATTAAAACAAATTGAAAGATTAAATCATATCTGGCTCGATCTTTGTATGGAATTATAGTCAGGTGCCTCATGACACCACCATGTCCCCGGAATCAGAATTCCTATTTGGGCTACTTTTCCCATTACAATTACAGTTTCTCCTCAGGGAGTTTTCTGCAAAATGAAGTTCAGTTTTTGCTGCCTGGAAAAGGCAGTTTGGACTATGTGAACTGGAAAAATGTCACCTTTCTGTTTCTATTTAAAGAATAAAAACTCTTGCTAGAAGAGTGCTGACGCTGGATTTTTATTTTTCTGGCCAAAAGAGAAATTTTGGTTCCTCTCTGACTACAGGTGGTCTGGTTCCATCTTCTCATTCTTTCACAAAGCTGCCAAATTGAAGAAGGACAAGGTTTCTTGCAACATCATGGTCCATGTCATGGATGGAGCAGTAGTGTACAAAGGCTAGAATGAAGGGGGAGAGGAGCATTGGGGACAGTTTCACACTGCTGACTGATCTGACAAAGATTGCAATAGAAGCAGAACTTTTGCAGCGTCTGTGGTTTCTATCTCAGCTGTGTTGAAAGCGAATTCTACATAATTAAAAGTCAAGCCTCTTGGCTATAATCATTTAAAAACAGTCCCCATGTTCTTGTGTTTCCACATATTTGCACTGATGGCAATCTATCTGTTCGATCTTACTTTCATTGACTTGTTTGCCTTGCTTTTTTCAGTTGACCTCATTGCCACATGAAATGCAAAATGTTTAGATTGCTGATGATGTGTTTCTAGCAAGGTTAAAGAAGGAGAAATAACACCATATATTGACAGGATTGAAAACTGTATGTCACCCTTGTTTTCAGTTGGCTCTTGATGAACAGCATATTCTCACTACTGCAACCATTTTTATCATATGACAGTGGCAGCTGCCTTTTCCAGCTCACAGTGCATAAGAAAGAGAGTTTATAAGCTCTTACATGAAGATAAATGTATAGATAGCTTTCTGAGGCACCTCAGTTAATGGTAATCCATTGAGATGAATCTCAAGATTACTACAAATTGTTTCATGACTGTCTCATGGCTCAATATTGAGTAACATCACACTGTGTGATATGGTGCAATAGAATACAAGGATCTAAATATCCAGAGTAGCAAAAAGCAATTTCAGGGGAAAAATAGCACATTTAATCACATTTTACTGAGTATTGACATCAACTGAGTTGCTTGATAAAGCTTTCAAAGCACAAATATGGTGAGCATTGATCATTTAACACTGCTTTTATTGGTAAAAATTATTAAGGGGATTTAGGTGGAGGATTTATTTGTTTGTTATAGCAGGGGTAGATGAGGTTAGTTATTTCACTTAATCTGTTTCTCAGTAGCTGAAAACTTTTCTTAATTTTACAGCTAACTTTAAGTACAGAAGAATTCATTGGTTTAAGTAAAAATAACTAAAAAGAATAAAACTTCCTCTGCAGAAAAATACAACTCTGCAATATCTATTTTATAGTCAAGGAGTAGGTAGGGTGCTTTGGTTTGTTTGTTTCTCTATAAATAAGCAAAACTTTACTGTTACACTGTAATGTATTGCATGCAATATCATTTCTACAATGCTACTAAATACTTTATAATTATTTTCATAATTCCCCAAAAAGTTTAATTTGTCACGGTTCTTTTGTGCTCACAGAGCAGTCTAATTCTCATGACCTGTGAATTCTAAATGTTTTTTTACATTCTCTGGTTAAGCATTTGACAACTTTTAATGAGTTAATTTGCTTTGATTAGTTTTTTCTGTAGGTCTTCACTTGTAAGCAAAAGGATATTTTTAATTCAGAATGCATGCTAATATGATGTAGATAATCAGAGGTCTGGGGAAAAAAAAAGTGAATCCAGCGGATTTTTTTTCTTTCCCTGATATCCAGATGTACAGCTTAGTAAAGATTATGAACAAGTCTCTGCTTAGAAATGGTTTTAATTTGAAAACTTGAAAGGCATAATTCCATCCTCCCTCAGAACACATGCACTGCTGAAATTGCACATTTAGAATTATGTTTTTCCTTTATTGTTTTCATTAATATCTATGAATAATGGCTTCCCATGTCGTAATTTAATTATGGTTTGGAATAATTGGTAAACTGAAACAGTATCATAGAACAGGGCGGAAATTGATAAAAGAAGGGTAAAGGTGAATTATATGGGGCATGGGAGCCTAATTAGAAATAATGAGATAATGAAATTTTAGTTAATTTTTGGTTGAAAATCAATGACCTCTACACTGTGACTTATGTTGAGTAGTCGTTGTGGTTTAGGAACTGTACTCCCCAATTTAGTGTCCCCACCAAGACTCTCCAAACCATGCACCGCTCTTTCTCTTGCTCCCCTGCTTTCTCCCCCTTCCCCACTGCAGCAAGTGGAGAGGAGAATTGGAGGCACAAAAGGCAAAGATCACAGGTTGAGATGAGGACTATTTACTGGAAACAGCAATGAGATAAGAAAATGAACACTAACAGCAACACTACTAATAACAGCGTACAAGAAAGGAAAGGATTCATGGTAACAGACAATACTGGATGGCTCCCTCTACCATGTTTTCTTAACTGGAAAGAACCCCTTCTCCCTGGAATAGAGTCCCTTTCCCACCATCCCCAGCAATGACATGAGGTGGTATGGAATAACCTCTGTGTCCTAGCCATGGCCCCTCGCAGCTACTGCAAAAATTAACCCTGTCCTGTCTGGAACCAGGACACTAGTAGAACTTGCGGAAGCTCTAGCACATGGGATATTTAAAACTTGGCTGCAAACAGGAAAAATGGACTGTAGGGAACCGATTTTTCACTGGCAAAGATGCAGACTAGTGACCTAATATCTCCTTTCCACCGTTAGCACCTGTAAGTTTGTTTGAAAAAATACTTGGAATTCTCTATGTCTTTTAGTCTCACTTGGATTTCTTTTGTATCTAGCAACATCAGATCATTATCCTATGAAAGTGCTTGACAGTAAAGAGCCTCATTTTCAGTTTTTCTTACTGGACAAAGTTAAATCTTAGGATATGTTGAGTCACATTGTGCCTACTTGTTTATTTGCAGTAGAGAGAAGGACAAAACTCAGAAAACTTCCTGTCCCATGGGTCACAAAAAAAAAAAACCAAAAATTGGCCAGCAGCACAGGAAATTTCAAATGGTGGGAAATGACTTCATTGATTTTTGACATTTTGAATTCTAACTATTTGCATTTTGTGTCCTTTACAGACCGTCTGAAAGGAGAGATAACCCAGAGGCACATTCAGAGAGCAGCTCTAGGTAAAAGCATAACATTTCAGGTACAGATAGGATGAATCTGCTTATGAGGCAGGTTGTATTTTCTATGACAGTTTTTGCCACATTATTTCTGCAATATCCATACCATAAAGAACATGGACTCTGTGAACTTTGTCTGAAATTTGACTCTAAAGGCATCTTATTTTATATGTGATGAGAAAAATAATACAAATTTTTGTAGGTTTTGGAGTTTGGTTTCTGATGAGTCTAATTTGAATTCCCATTAACAGACATTGGTATGTCCTGAGACCGAGCTAGTAGCCGTGTTGCCACAGTCTGTCTAACATCCTTTTTAATTTTTCTCATTCTGAGAGAGGCTGAAGGCATATACAGGTCATTTCTCTCGCATCTAGTTATAGAAGTTGAGAAGTTATTTCTTACAGTTTCTGTTGACACAGCTGTGAAGCTAAAAGTGTCTATGTAAGTTGTTCACATAAGTGTAAAGTCATCCAAATTTGTTTTAAGATGCTTAAAGCTGACTCCACTGACTTTGTACTGAAACAACCGAGGAGTGTTCATATGAGAATTCCACTTCTGGGACAATAAACTTCATCTAAAATTTGACAGAAAACTGCTGTTGCAATAACAGTTTAGATCCCCCTTCATTTAAATCCGTAAAAGAATCCCAAAATGTGCCTTCATAGACCTTCTTCACATAAAAGATGGAGCTAACTCAGACCAGATTGCAGTTGATGCATTTATTTCTGTGTGTACATAATACAGAGAACATTATTTGTCTCTTAGTAAGAAGGAGAAAATTGAGGGACTTTCTTAATCCCAAAAGTCAGGCAAGTAAGTTACTACAGAAAAAAAAATAATTTCTCTTTCTAATTTACCCATGCATCTCAAGCTTTGTTGATGATGTTATTATTTTATACCTCTATCCCTTTTTATTTTGATAATCAGCACTGAAATATTAATGTTGTCCGTGTCAATAAAGCCTAAGAATTAAACTCCAGTTATTTTGATCAGTATGAGAAGGGGAAATGAAGGAGTTGCTGATCTCTTCTCCCTGGTATCCAGTGACAGGACACATGGGAATGGTTCAAAGCTGCATCAGAGAAAGTTCAGATTTGATATTAGGAAAAGTTTCTCCTCTCCTCTCCTCTCCTCTCCTCTCCTCTCCTCTCCTCTCCTC